AACTATTAGTATATGCCTGAATAATAAGACATACAAATGTTGATTTCAATAGTTTATTAATCATTTACTAACTCATTCTGAATCATCCTAAAACCCTCAACTACAAATGGTTTGTAAATAATACGATACTCGATTTAGTAATGAAAAATAAATCATAAACTAAGTATGAAAATACAATTATTTAACACATTATATAGATGCTTATAAGTCAAGAATAGAGGATTTGTAGCTGCAGTTATAAACTGCTTACTAACGCTTATTAATGTAGAGTTAATGCTTAACAGATAATGAATTCACTATTTGCTAATGCTTAATAAATGATTTATAGTGTGTAGTTATTATAAAGTGTTACCAACCTTTTTAATATCTGTAAACATGTTTATTATTACACACATAATTATGTTATTAAGTAGTATAGGCTACATTATATACAGTAGGCTTAATATACATACAGATAATTTCCCAGTGCTAGGTTGTAGCTAGAAGGGCATACCGTGTGTAAAACATATGCTGGATAAGTTGGCGGTTCATTCCGCTGTGGTGACCAATGATGAATAAAGAGACTAAGCCAAAGGAAAATTAATGAATGAAAATATTAAATCAGCTGTAATCAGGAGTAACTACAGTACATTTGTTGAAGTAGAGTGAAGCTTTTCTAATAGCAAGCTACTTTTTCTAATAACTATGTCAAAATGCTGATTAAAAGTATAGTGAATATGTCAAAATATGGTTATATATTTACAAAATGTTGTTCCATTAAATAGCTTTGGAAACCTGCTTTTATTACAGCTTATAATGTAGCAAACTACCCTTTCAAAACAGCTCTATAAAGAAACGCTGGAGGCAGAGAGAGCTGTACTCTTCACTCAGGACTGTTTTTCACAGTTATTTTCCTTTTCAGCAGCCATTTCATGCTATATTTTACTCTTTACAGCTGTGTGTACAGTTTCAAGATGATTGGTGCCTATTCTAAACCTTAAATGACAGGCTTTGCTCAGTTTAGAATGGTCAAGGCTGGAACAGGAAAACTAGAGAATGGAACTAAAAACACATCAAATACAATGACATTTTCAAGACCTGGTTTTCTCATTAAAGTAATCTTAGTTTTGTATTTTAGATATAACTTTGAACTGAACTTTCTCCATTCAGCCTGGTTAATTTCCCTGCAAATCTCTGTAAAACTAAGAGCTGTGAATGATCCAGTCTACATTATAGTCTGACAATGCAGAATTTGGGATTAAACAGCACAGGCTCAATGGTAATATACACCACGGCCTACATTTTTGCACAATGCATACATTTTGTTGCACATTGACAAATACTCTAGAGGGCGCTGTTTACATTTTTGCTAATACAGTTGACCCTGTCAGGGTTCTGCCACTTTGATCTTGTAAATTCTTGTTTTGGTGGCAGAGCTCTGACACTACTCATGCCTGGTCCTGTTTCTGTCTCTGTGTGCGCGCGCGCGCCGTCATGGGTGTACGCAGAGTGTGCGCGCTGCCGCTTCATGTGGCCGCGCACGCTCTGCGTCCCTCAGACGCGTGCGCTCTTGTACTAGTGTTTGTGTTTGTTCTGTCAGCAGCGCGCTGCTTTATTCTCAGCGCCTCTGTCTAGTTGGTTTCAGTTTTGGTTGGCGCTGAGATGAAGCATGCGCGTTGCTTATGTGTGAGCGCACGGTAAGGTGTTTATCTATCGTGTGCTCGTGTCTTGCGTCTCTTATCAAAGCACGTGGCTCGGTGTTTACATTGTGGTCACGTGCTTTTGTCGTGTGCTTCAGTGTTGTGTTTGTTGTCATGAACATGCGGTTAATGAGTTCTCTCATTGGCTGCATGTTCTTGTCCTGTTAAGTGAGCGCATGGCTTGTGTTGTCTCTCTGTGTCATGCGCTCTCCCGTCTATTGTCTTGTCCCACCCTCCTTGTTAACCCATAATTAGTTAATTGTGTTCACCTGTTTGTGTGTTAATTTTCTACAGTTTATATACCCCTCACATTTGCTGTCCTGTGCCCGTTCGTCATCACATGTTGTTGTATGAAGTCTTGTCCTGTTGTTTTTCCAGTCCTCATCCTTGTCAGCCGGCCCAGTCCTGTTTGTATGTATTTCTTTTGTTAATGTTTTCCCCCTCGGGGTAGTTTATTTTGCATTTTATTTTTTGTTTATAATTTAATAAATTCCCCATTTTCCTGCACTTGAGTCCTCGCTCCTTTTTCCCCATTTCCCATCACCAACCCTGACAGACCCTCATTGATCGTGGGAGTTACATTCTAAAAAAACCCGCAAATAGGCGAAATCCGCAAAGTAGACAGCTTTTTACAATTATTATATATGTTTTAACCCTTTAACTACACCACAAAGAAAAAAAAATTGGATTGCATTTCTTAACTCCTTAAGTCGCTAGTAACAAGCTCGATGTTTTTTTTTTCAACACATCCCATAATTTCTAAAATATCAGCCTCTACCAAATGGTTGATACGTCAGTTTATGGTAAAAGTACCGGACGTAATACTTATACAATGGAAAATCTGAAAATATGAAGTTAGAGAAATTTAATTAAAAAAATATTCAGAATAAAACATTTTTGAATACTAAATCATCCTTATTTTTTGAAGTATGGCATTATTCAAAAAAGGTAATGATTTGCACTCAATTGCTTCGTACTGTTTTTATTTTTTATTTTTCTTACATTTTAAGGGTGATTAAAAGACAGACGTTTCGGCACAAAGCCTTCCTCAGTGTGTGGCAAACACAAACCGGTTGTGCACATTTGCATGTTATTTAAAATGAAATTATTCAATAATTTTTCTTTTATCCCATAGTAGTATCATTTTTGGGTCAAATGTTGTGCCATATTCACAACCCAGGCGCATTCTGAAAACGTATCACTATATACCCAATAGAATTGGCACTCTATGGCATGGCAGAAATAAGAACAGAGAGACCACTGTATACAATACTTAAAATAGGGGTATGTTTTGCTGTACGTATTAGATTCACATTATTTTTGCACACGTCCACGAGAAAGTAGGGCTTGTCAGGCAGATCACACAGAACCCGAGGCGTTTCCAGGCCACCCGAGAGACATAGACCTCCAGTGTGTCCTGGGTCTTCCCCGAGGCCTCTTCCCATGGGGCATGCCTAGAACACCTCCCTAGGTAGGTGTCCAGGAGGCATTCGAAGCAAATGCCCAAGCAACCTCAGCTGACTTCTCTCAATGTGGAGGAGCAGCGGCTCTACTCCGAGCTCCTTCCAGGTGACAGAGCTCCTCACCTATCTATAAGGGTGCGCCCTGCCACCATGCGTAGGAAACTAATTTGGACCTCTTGTATTCAGGATCTTGTCCTTTCGGTCATGACTCTTAAAGGGCATCTATGGTGAAAAATGTACTTTTCAATCTGTTTGGACATACATGTGTGTAAGTATAGTGTATATACTGTCATATTGGGGTGAAATAAACACACCCAGTCCTTTTTTTTTTTTCAAATTTAACAACATATAACAGTGGACCAATTGGAGCGGTTTTCAGATCGACCGCAAATTTACATAGGAGTGCGGTCCCCTTGCCCACCAATATTGATTGACAGCTGCGCTCATTAACATGTCTCCATAGTAATAAATAAAATCATATCGACAAGACAGGACGAGCGCAAAGCAACCGGGAATAAAAGGTTTGTTCAGTTTGCTAGGATCATCAATCATCATCAGACGTGATCAAGAGTGAGTTTTACAAGTTTAACATGTTTTAAAACAGTGCACGTGTGTAATGAAGTACAGCCATTCACTTCAGATTCACTTCATCAGCACAGCTGCATGTCTTTCTCACTGTTTCTCTGTGTGTATGTGTCTGCGCTATGTATGTGTGTGTCTATGTGTCTGACTGTCTATGCTATGTACGTGTGTGTGTTTGGGTCTGCGCTACGTGTCTGTGCTATGTGTGTGTGTGTGTGTGTGTGTGTGTGTGTCTGCGCTGTGTGTGCGTGATCTCACTGTTGCAACTCCACAAAAAACGCATCAAATACTGATTGGTAAAGTTCTTACTGTAGTATTTCCCACAAACGTTACGTGAGATCTGCTTCCTGAGGCAGCCGAGGGCGGCGATTAAGGCATGTTGCTGACAGGCACGTGGGATCGGTGGGCAGGGATGACTCGCCTTAAAGGCCCAGTGCAAAAAAAATAGCAACATCCCAGCTATAATACAGACACTTCAAACAGCTATAATAAATACTCTGATGGGTGTTTTGAGCTGAAACTTTACAGACACATTCTGGGGACACAAAATAGTTATTATAAATATGAAAAAGGGGTAACCTATATGCCCTTTAATAAATATGTAGAATAAATAATTTCCAATAAAGAATACATCTCTAATAAAGAATAAATATGTATATTTTTGCCCAAAGGCAACACGGTGGATTGGGTAAGCTAAATTGTCCATAGTGTATGTGTGTGAATGAGTGTGTATTGGTGTTTCCCGATGATGGGTTGCAGCTGGAAGGGCATCCGCTGCGTAAAACATATGCTCGATAAGTTGGCGGTTCATTCCGCTGTGGGGACCCTGGATTAATAAAGGGACTAAGCTGTAAAGAAAATGAATGAATAAATTTAGTGATTTTCAACTTAATTTGTTTGTTTCAATTCAACCCAAATATATTTTTACAACCACTTAACTGAAAAAAATCCAAGGAATCATCTTTGAATATTTTTTTTTTCAGGGACAGGGTTTCACAAAAAATGTAGACTGTGCAAGTCTTTCCACTGAGATTACAATGGAACAGACACATGTGAAAAATCCCTACCACATATGGAAAAGGGTGAAAGGAATATCCAGCATATGTGTTCAACATCTAGACTATGAATGGAATTCCCTCTGAAAACATCCCCCTGAAATCCAAACTTCTTTTCCTGTTTAAGTTTACAAAGGATTTCTCTTTGAAATGTATGACCTACTTGCTGACTTTATTGTCCCATTTGTCTTTACAAACACCTTCTCCGCTGTGTCTTGCAGGCTTTAAGGCTGTGCATGAAGCTCAGACTGAAATGTCGGTTTGTGGTGGCCTTCCTGTTTCTCTTCAGCCTGTCAGTGGCGATAATATACACCCTTCCTCCATTCCAATCCGAGCAGATCAGAGCGAACGTACGAGGCCCTCGCAATAACAAACCTAGCAAGCTATTGGAGAAGTGGTCTCTGAGACCGTATAAGAAGCTTCCAGGCAAATCCTTGAAGAACCCTGAAATGAAAGATTCCGCTAAACATCTCCTGATGTTCAGTCATTTCCATCAAACGTTTTCCTCTGGAAAAATAGCTGAAGGAAAAGCATCAACCAAGAAGCCTTCAAGCAAACAATATATGAAGAATCCAAACAAACATCCAATCAAGTCATTCCGAGGCAGTGCCAAAAGGGCGCAAGCTGTTAGACTTCGAAATAGCAGCAGCTCCAACACAACCATCCATCTCCTTCGCTCCAGACATGACCAAGCATTCCCTCATTCCGCCAGCATCCGGAGCCTCCGCCCAAATAACAAGACATGCAGGCACAAATGCACTCCAGATGGGGACAAAGTAGAGAGGATTGTAGGCCACTTCTCCGATGCACAGCAGGTGGTAAAACTGAAACAAGCCCCTAGAGAAGCAGGAGCACATGAAAGACAAGCTGGGCCCTCTGAGAGGAAGAGGCCCAAATTTAAAACAGAAAGAGAGGCTGAGGCTGGCATCAGTGACTGGTGTAAGACTTTAAATGAAAGCTGGAACCAAACCAAAGCAGAGTCTCTCCCCTGGTTCAGTGCGGATGATATAAAGAAGATGGCACTTCTCTCCAGAGGCACTGTTGTGAGTAAAGCCCGGCTTCCCGGCCATGGACAAGTACTTCAAGTCGGATTAAGCGATAAAAATGACACCTTTGCATCTGCAGGTCATCTCAAACGCTGCCAGAAAGAAAGCTGCGCTCTCATAAAACGCCCTAATGACTGGTCTGAAGTGTTCGCCTTTCACCTGGACAGAGTTTTAGGTCTGAATCGGAGCTTGCCCGCAGTGTTAAGAGCATTTCACAGTGAGATTCTACCTTACAAATACACATCTGGATCTCCCAGACCGGTGGTATGGTGGGATCCTAGCATCCAACATCTGTCTGATGCTGAGAACGACCAGAACTCTTTCTCACTCACCTGGCCAGAATATCAGGCTCTGCTCAAGAGCAGATGTGGAATTCAGGTCCCGCTGAACTTCACCACATGTGTGGGAGTTCATCATTCAGAGTGGGGGCGACTGGCCTTGTTTGACTTCCTGCTGCAGGTAAGAAACGGTGAAGAAACATAATTGTTTTTTGGTGTTCGATTTCTGATGTATAAAATTATATATTGTATGTAGCGTATGAAGTAAACTCCTAAATTATGTTGCAAAAACATTAGAAAATGTGATTATCTTACGACTTAAATCCCCCAAAAATACACACACTATTAACCATTTTTGTAAATTACACTATATTTAACTGTAATATGAAATGTATTTTACTGTAGGACAGTTATGCAGTTTGTTACTGTATTTTGAAAATTGATTTGTGAAAATTACTTTAAATATATGTAATATTTACAATACTGTAAACACATATACTGCACAGTAAATGTTTTACAGTAAGTAACTGGCGAACTGCTGTCTAATCTAACCAACCCGGGCTCATTGTGAAAACGTAGCCCCGCGGACGTTTCTGCGGACCGCGATTTACGTCCCGGGAGGTACATATTCAAGCGGTTTTTGTTTTCGCGGATCCGCAAGAGGCCGCTGTGCGCGTTTTTTCGCGTCTCGGGCGCCTCTCGGGAGCGCGTGTCGTTCGCGCCCGCGCTGTTCTCCCGCGAAAAGCCGCCGGATCGGCCGACTCGGCTTTAATCCATAATAACAAAAACATTTTAAGGTTAAAGTCCGTTTATTTCACAGTTGAAGTCAGAATTATTAGCCCCCCTTTAATTATTGTTTTTTTAATATTTCCCAAATTATGTTTAACCGAGCAAGGAAATTTTCACACAATGTCCGATAATATTTTTTCTTCTGGAGAAAGTCTTATTTGTTTTATTTTGACGTGACTAAAAGCAGTTATTAATTTTTTTAACACCATTTTAAGGTCAAAATTATTAGCCCCTTTAAGCTATATATTTTCCGATAGTCTACAGAACAAACCATCATTATACAATAACTTACCTAATTACCCTAACCTGCCCAGTTAATCTAATTAACCTAGTTAAGACTTTAAAGGTCACTTTACGCTGTATAGAAATGTCTTGAAAAATATATAGTCAAATATTATTCACTGTCACCATGCCAAAGATAAAATAAATCAGTTATTAGTAATAAGTTATTAAAAGTATTATGTTTAGAAATTTGTCAAATTCTGAAAAAAAGAAATAAAAAAAATCTTCTCTCCGTTAAATTAAAAATTAGGGGGGGGAAATAAATAGGGTGGCTAATAGTTCAGGGGGGGCTAACAATTCTGACTTCAACTGTATGTGTATTTAAATAATATAAGGGTGGGGTAGTGGCGCAGTGGGTAGCTCTGTCGCCTCACAGCAAGAAGGTTGCTGATTCGAGCCTCAGCTGTGACAGTTGGCATTACTGTGTGGAGTTTACATGTTCTCCCCATGTTCGTATGGCCTCCAGGTTCCTCCAGGTGCTCTGGTTTCGCCCACAAGTCCAAAGACATATGCTATACTGTAGGTCAATTGGGTAAGCCAAGTTGTCTGTAGTGTATGTGTGTGAATGAGTGTATGAATGTTTGTCAGTAATGGGTTGCAGCTGGAAGGGCATCCACTGCTCAAAACATATGCTGGATAAGTTGGCAGTTCATTCCGCTGTAGCGACCCCAAATTAATAAAGGGACTAAGCTGAAAAGAAAATGAATACATGTATGAATAAATAATATAGTTGACCATTTTGGTGTTGTCACATGTTATTTTAAGTTGTCCTTGTTAAAGTTTAAACCTTCATTTAGCTATTGAGGAACATTATTGAACTATATGTACTTACCATGTGGTTATGTTTAGAATCTGGGTTGCATGCAATTGTGCATAGTTGTAATTTATACAGTTTAGGGACACGTTCAAATAATTCTACTAAACCTTTTTTCCTCAATCTGAAAGTTTAGGGTGTTGCTCATTCTGAAAACGTACTCTATATACATTTTTGGAGATCGCAAATTATGTAGCCAGAAGTACCTATGGCTGCATTTCGCCTTTAAAACGAACGCTATGGGGCAGTATGACGCCGTTCCTCTTCGCAATAGCAGCTGACTGCTTACTTCGGTATGGATGACTTTCCTGCTATTACCAGTGGCTCGCAGCATACGTTGGCAGAATTGAGATGCAGAGAGCAGTTGACTACAATGACAGGGTTTAGGTCAGGTGAAGAACGGTTCTAGAAAGCAGGTATGACAAAAGCAAAAAAAGCAAAAAATAAACTAGTCAATAACAGGGTGAGAATGTGAAAACATGGTAAAAATCAGAGGGGTTTTCTTTTTCTGGATTGTGATTTAAAACACTATTGGTTGGGTTTAGGGAGGGAGGTGGGTGGGTAGATCGGTTGGACAGTTAGTCAGTCCGTCAGATGACAGTGGCCTCTGGTGGATTAACGTGAGAACAGCAGGCAAGAATGAGAGAAGAGATTGAAATTTGAGATCTCACAAAGCATACACAGCGGCTTCGGATTCAGGAAAACAAAAACTGCTAAAAAATGTACCTCCTGGGATGTATTTGGCAATCTCTAGAAATGTATATAGGGCTACGTTTTCAGAATGAAGCAATTCAAGTTTTCCATTTTTAGCACTGGCAATTTTCCTGTTCAAATCAGACTCTCTTAAAGTTGAAGTATGCGATCTTGTCAAGTTGGTTTGTAAACATCTTTTCTAAACACTTTACATATTGGTCATGGGTTAAACTGTTACACTAACCTAAATGTGTTGAGCTTTGCCTTGTTTATAGCCCAGGACAGTATTACGAATTTACCTCCTGTTGAGTATATTGTGTTTTTGAGTTTCTCAAAACTGCAACTGTGTGTATTGAGACAGAGTCTAACTCTGCTTTCAAAGCATGTCTCGAGTTGGCAAAACAAACAAACAAAATAACAATTCCAAGATGTTCAGGTTCAGGGGTCTCACTGCATTTGCTATAAGCATTCTCTGTCAACAGGTTTTGAACCAAAACCTGACATCTGCAACAAGCAGTCAAACAAAAACATCCCTTCTTGACAGAGTCATCACAGTTTACATCTCTACTAGATTAAGATGCACTGGCAAGTTTCAAACTCCAGCTCTACATTATATAAAATATAAATACTGTTGCCTTTGTTTGTCTCGTCTGCACATCTAAGCTCTTAAAATATTTTTTTTAATTAAAAAAAAAACACTTTCTCTATGAGTTCATGACCTAGTCAATCTATTCTTTAAAATCATTGATTGGAGCAGTGCTGCATGAAGTCGTTTTCTCGTCTATTGTCTAGTCCGACCCTCCTTGTTAGCCCATTATTACTTTATTATGTTCACCTGTTTGTGTGGTAATTATTTCTGCTTATATCCTCCTCATGTCTGCTGTCCTGAGCCAGCTCATCGTTGTTTGTAAACTTGTCCTGTCTGTCCAGCCCTGATCCTTGCCAGCCAGCCCAGTAAAGTTTGTTTGTATGTTTTGTTAATGTTTTCCCCCTCCGGGTATTTAATTTAATTTTTTTAATGAATCTCATAATTTCCCCTGCACTTGAGTCCTTGCTCCTTTTCCCCAACCTCCGAATGTGACAAAAGTGGCATTGGACGGGGTTGAAGTAACCAAAACAAAGACAGCCATTCCAGCTTGCAACACACATTTTCAAAGCAGAATGTCTGACTTTAGCATTGTTTTTCAGATAAACAAGAATGTTCACTTAGCATGATTCTTAAATATCTGCAAACATATGATGGCATTTTTATACTTTAGAAGAGCCAAAAACTCACATACCAGCCTGATCTCACGAGAAAACGTAAGTATTTTACGTTTTGGCAGTTTAGTGGCTAATTCGTACGAATTCGTACGAGTTCAGTCGTAAGAAAATGTATGATTTTAAAAAGGAGGCGTGGCACCTAACCCCACCCCTAACCCCAACCGTCATTGGGGGATACGCAAATCGTACTAAAATGTACGAATTAGATCGTATGAATTTGTACGAATTAGCCTCTAAATGAAAAAGTTACGAATTGCTGTGAGATTGTGTTGTACATACAGCACCTTCAAATTTCATACTTTAATCTCAATTTTCAAAAAAATACATAATAACTTATGACTGGTTTTGTGGTCCAGGGTCTCATGTAGAAATGGTGTCACGAGTTTGCACAAAGACTTTAATTCACTATGAATGATAATACATCTAATTTGGAAGATCACAAGGATTGTGATTCAGTCTCACCTCATTAGCGGGTTTAGCAGAATATTTTTACACTTGCCTTTCTTTCCGTTCTCCACTTTTACTCTCTTTATAGCTGCACTGTACTTTGGTCATTTTTCGAGAGCCATTGTTGTCATGGTGACGCTTAATTAATAATGTGAACATAGATAATAGAGGAAAAATCATGCACCCTTCCTAAAATCAAACACATTGAAAGTGACTAGGGAAAACTTTCTTTGACATCGTGATTTCACAATAATCTTTACAAATGTGCAAATGCTGACAAGTGATCTGATCAATCAGAATGCCAGTATTATTTGCTTCCCACTCTTGCTATCTGCCATAAATTGTTATACAGTGGAGCTACAGTAGCATATTAAAATCTTAGGGCTTTTCCTAAGGGAACTGCAGCACAGACAGCAAAACAAACACAAAAAGTAAATTCACACAAACACAATTAGTAAAAAGTAGAGTAAAAAAGTGAAGTCTTTCACTCATACTCGTATCAACACAAGCAAGAGGATGAAGTATTTTAAGATTCTTGATGTTGTTATCCGGGAATTCAAGTGAAGCTGTCGGCACCATTCATCATGTCTGCTATATGTCATGTAGATGGCTGCTTTTAATCAAGAAAGCACTCAACTGGAGATGTTTCAATACTACATTTCTTGTCCAATATTAATGGCCATGTATTAATTTGGATATCTGCTGATACCTGTATCAAGCATGGTTTCTGAGTCTTGACTCAAAGAAAACACAGCAAAAAAAAAAAGTCTTTTCTTTCTTAGATTTTTTGTCTTTTTTCTAGTCCTAATATCTAAAAATTCTTAAATCAAGAAGAAATTTCTAGACAAGCAAAAGAAATAAAGTGCCAAAATTTTTAAGAAATAAAAAAAAAA